AGCAACATTTGTTGAAAAGACTCATTTCCCCATTGAATTGTCTTGTCACCCTTGTTGATAATCAATTGCCCATAAATGTCAAGGTTTGTTTCTGAACTCTGAATTCTATTTCATTGATCCATATACATAACTTTACACCAGCACTACACCATCTTCATTTCTATAGCTTTGTAGTAAGTTTTGCAATCAGATAATAAGAGTCTAACTTTGTTCTTCTTTTTCAAGATTGTTGGCTATTCTGGGTCCCTTGCATTTTCATGTGAATTTTAGGATCAGCTAGCCTGTTTCTACACAAAAACCAGTTGGGCTTTTGATAGTAATTGGGTTGGATGTGTCATTTTAGGAGAGTTTTGCCATCTTAACAATGTAATAATTGATGAATATACAATTATTTAAGCATATTTTATTTTTCAGGTTGTTTGTTCCCTCTCTTGTTCAGTTTTTTTCTTTATTATTTCTTGCTAGGGGTTTAATTTTTAAAATTACTTCAAAGATAATGTTTTGTAATTTTTCTATTTTCCTTTTCATTGTTTCCTACTTTTCCTTCTACTTTCTCTGTGTATAATTTATAACTTTTTGAGGTAGAGGCTTAGACCACTGATTTTAAACCTTCCTAGGAAGTTTTCATGATCTCCTGATTGCAAAATTCAGGCTTAAATTGAAGAAAATAGGGAAAAAACCACTAGGCCATTCAGGTCTGGCCTAAATCAAGTCCCTTATGATTATACAGTGGAGGTGACGAGTAGATTCAGGGGTTAGATCTGGTAGACAGAGTGCCTGAAGAACTATGGGTGGAGGTTCCTAGCATTGTACAGGACGTGTTGATCAAAACCATCCCAATGAAAAAGAAATGCAAGAAGGCAAAGTGGTGGTCTGAGGAGGCTTTACAAATAACTGAGAAAAGAAGAGAGGTGAAAGGCAAGGGAGAAAAGGAAAGATACACCCAACTGAATGCAGAGTTCCAGAGAATATGAAGGAGAGAGAAGAAAGCCTTCTTAAGTGAACAATGCAAAGAAATAGAGGAAAACAACAGAATGGAAAAGACTAGGGATCTCTTCCAAGAAATTGGAGATATCAGGGAACATTTCGTGCAGAGATGGATAGGCATGATGAAGGACAGAAACATCAAAGACCTAACAAAAACAGAGGAGATTAAAAAGAAGTGGCAAGAATACACAGAAGAATTCTACAAAATAGGTCTTAATGACCATGGTGTGATCACTCACGCAGAGCTAGACATCCTGGACTATAAAGTCCAGTGGGTCTTAGGAGGCATCACTACGAACAAAGCTAGTGGGAGTGGTGGAATTCTAGCTTAATTATTTAAAATCCTAAAAGATAGTGCTATTAAAGTGCTGCACTCAATATGTCAGCAAATTTGGAAAACTCAGCAATGGCCACAGGACTAGAAAAGCTCAGTTTTCATTCCAGGCCCAAAAAAGGGCAACGCCAAAGAATGTTCAAACCATACAGTTGTGCTCATTTCACATGCTAACAAGGTCATGCTCAAAATCCTTCAAGCTAGCTTTCAATAGTATATGAACTGGGAACTTCCAGATGTATAAGCTGGATTTAGAAAAGGCAGAGGAAGCAGAGATCAAATTGCCTACATTTGTTGGATCATAGAGAAAGCAAGGGAATTCCAGGAAAACCTCTGCTTCTGCTTCATTGACGATGCTAAAGCCTTTGACTGTGTAGGTGACAACAAACTGTGGAAAACTCTTAAAGAGATGAGAATACCAGGCCACCTTACCTGTCTCCTGAGAAACCTATATGCAGATGAAAAAGCAATAGTCAGAACTGGACATGGAACAACAGACTGGTTCGAACTTGGAAAAGGAGTATGTCAAGGCTGAATATTGTCACCCAGCTTATTTAACTTAGATACAGAGTACGTTGTGCAAAATGGCAGGCTGGGATGAATCGCAAGCTGGAAGAATTAGCAACAACCCCAGATAGGCAGATGATACCACTCTAATGGCAGAAAGTAAAGAGGAACTAAAGAGCCTCTTGATGAGGGTGAAAGAGGAGAGTAAAAAAGCTGGCTTAAAACTCAGCATTCAAAAAACTAAGATCATGGTGTCTGATCCCATCACTTCATGGCAAGGGGGAAAAGTGGAAACAGTGACAGATTTTCTTTTCTTGGGCTCCAAAAATCACTGCGGACCGTGACTGCAGCCACAAAATTAAAAGATGCTTGTTCCTTCCTTGAAAGGACAGCTGTGACAAACCTAGCAAGTGAAAAGCAGAGACATCACTTTGCCAACAAAGGTCTGTATAGTCAAAGCTATGGTTTTTCTAGTAGACATCCTTGGATGTGAGAGTTGGATCATGAAGAAGGCTGAGCATCAAAGAACTGATCATTTTTAATTGTGGTGCTGGAGAAGACTCTTGAGAGTCCCTTGGACTGCAAGGAGATCCAACCAGTCCATTCTAAAGGAAGTCAGCCCCGAATATTCATTGGAAGGACTGATGCTGAAGCTGAAGCTCCAATATTTTGACCACCTGGTGGGAAGAGTGGACTCATTGGAAAAGACCCTAATGCTCGGAAAGATTGAGGTCAGGAGGAGAAGGGGGCAGCAGAGGAAGAGATGGTTGGATAGCATCACCAATTCAATGAACATGAGTTTGAGCAAACTCCAGGAGATAGTGAAGGACGGAGAAGCCTGGTGGTGTGCTGCAGTCTGTGGGATCTCAAAAAGCCAGACATGACTGAGCAACTGAATAACAACAAGAGGTTTTCAAATATATGCATTGAGAGAGATTAATTTCCCTCTCATGGCTGCTCTGTTTGCATTCCACTGTATTTTTGTATATCATGTTTTTAGTTTCATTCACTTCAAATATTTTAGTTTCCTGGTGGGTGGTGTCTGGTCCCAGTATAGTTGACTTTGGAGCCTACCAGTCTTGGACTCCTGTCTGCAAGAGCTGGCAAGTCCAGTACTGGTGCTGGCTTGCCAGTATGGGAAGCAGGGACCTTGAAACTCCTAGGGCTGGTGCCTGCCTGATGAACGGAACCTGTTCCAGTATAGCTGCCTGTCCGGCCTGGGGTCCCAGAGCTGATTCTTTCCCATTGGTGGATGGTGCCCGGTTCCTGTGTGGCTGGCTGTGGCTCTGCTGGTCGTCAGGGTCACGGCTGGGCAGCGTGGGAGGTCCCAGGCCTGTTGGCCACCTGCTGGTGGGTAGAGCGTGTTCCAGGGCCGATAGTTTAGACTCCAAAGCAGTGCATCCACTGATGCACTTGCCAGCATCAGCATCCTCATGACAGAACCTAAATAGCTCCCGTAAATGGCTGCCGCCAGCGTCTGTGTCCCCAGGGGGAGTTCTGGCGGCCTCCCTCCGCCTGGCAGGCTTCTGCAAGTGTAGCAGGTAGCTCTGACCTAGAGCCTTTGCAATACGCTCTCTTTGCTGGGTCTCTGAGCATGTGATGCTTTGTGTCATTTAAGAGAAGCTTTCTCTTTTCCTGGAGCCCTCTAGCTCTTACACAAGACTGGCCGACTTCCCAAGTCAGTTGTTATGGAGCTTACCTTCCAGTGTAATACCCCGGGGCTGGGGAGCCCAGTATGGAGCTTGGGCCCCTTGCTTGTTGGGGAGAACCTCTGCAATTGTGATTGCCCACCCTTTTGTATGTCACCTACTTGGGGATGTGGGTTTTAACTATACTGCAGCTCCACCGCTCCTACCCGTCTCCTGTAGTTCCTTCTTGCTATCCTTAGTTTTGGGAAATCTTTTCTGCTAGTCCTCAGGTCCTTCTCATTGATAGCTCCTCTGTGAGTGGTCATAATTTAGGTTTACCTGTGAGAGGAAGTGAAGGTGTTCATTCTGTGCCATCTTGGCCACTCCGTTATATAATGTATTGTTTTTGTTGTTATTGTTTATGTTTTGAATATACTTCAGAGAGTGCATTCAGCATTTGGAGGTATCAGTTGAGGTGGTTGAATAATATTGTTCAAAATTTCTATATTCTTACTAATTACCTTTTCTTCTTGCTTTATCAGTTATGGAGAGAAATTTATTAAAACCTGCAGCTACTTTTAGTTTTGTCAGGTTTTGCTTAATGAATCTTGAAGTTCTGTTTTTAGATGCATGCATATTTACTGTCATCAAGTCTTTTTTTTTTAGATTGACCCTGTTATTATTGTGCATTGTCCCTCTTTTCCCAGTAACATTTTTTGTCTTAAAGTTTATTTTTGGCATGTTATTTTTTTATTTTACTTTTCCAGTCCCTTTACTTTCAGTCTGTCGTGTGTCTTTGTATTTCACATTGCTTCTTGTCAACAAGATATAACTGTGTTTTATTTAGACTGACCATGTGCCTTTTAGTTAGAGAATTTAGTCCACTTACATTTGGTATGATTACTAACATGGCTGTGATAATTCTTCTGTCTCGTTATTTGTATCCTGTGTATTTGATTTGCTGTTTTGTTCCTTTGCTTTTCCTTTCTTGCTTCCACTGTTTTCCTTTCTTACTGACTTTTTAGATATATCTCTTGATGTATTAGTGGTTAAATTAGAGCTGTGTTCTCCAATAAGATAGCCACTAGCCACATTAAAATTAAGTTTAAAACTCAGTTCATCCTTGCGTTAGCTATATTTCAGGTGCCCAGTAGCCACGTGTCTCCATTACTGGATTAAGCGATACAGATTACTGCAGAAAGTTCTATTAGATGGCTCTCTAAAGGTTATGATCAGGATTTGTTTTCGTCAAAACTACCGCAGGTCAAGTGTGAAAAGAGCAGTATTCCAGTGAGAAGATGTTCTTGGCGTGTCTACTCCTGGTGATCTTTGTATCTGTAGACAAATGTCCCACTGCTCTTAGCCTCAGTTTTTTTTAAAACATGAGGATAATAATTCCTGTTTTTACTGCTTCTTGGAGTGCTTGTGGAAAAGAAAACTATAAAATGGTAACATTCTTTATAAAGGTCAAAGCAATTTTCCAAAAAAAAAAAAAAAAATTAAGAACCTATTGTCTACTTTCTGTGTTCTGTTTGCTTTTTTAGGTTGCTGACCGAACTGGAGTCTCCTTCTTGGTGGCCCTTTAGCTCCAAGCTTCGGAAGGCGCCACCGGAAACAAAGCCCCAGTGGGACACCTCAGTGGCTAATTCCAAAGCTTTTGGAAAAGAAGGGATAGTGATCCAAGTTCCTGCCGTTATTTCCCAAAGAACAGAATCTCATGTTAAACCAGGAAGGCTCACTGTCCTTGTTTCTGGGTTGGAAATCTACAACTCAGATTCTCTGCTCATGCACAGATTCGAAAGGGAAGATGTAGATGACATCAAGGTCCACACACCTTATGAAATTAGCATCCGCCAGCGGTTCATTGGGAAGCCAGACATAGCTTATCATTTGATATCTGCCAAGATGCCAGAGGTTATCCCCATTTTGGAAGTACAGTTCAGCAAGAAGATTGAGTTATTAGAAGTCGGCATGATGCTCAGAAGCACTGGAACCTCTTCCCTAGCAGAGAAGGGCTATTCAGTCTGGCACGCAGGTGAGTGATCGTCAAAAGAATCTGTGCACAGAACCTGTAAAGTTACAGTCAAACTCAGCACACCCATGGTGCATACTTACCATGATGCATCACATATAGCAACTACTGGTTTCAGCTCAGTAGCAACTGCCCATTTGCTTATAAATAAAAATATTTTCAGACCATTTTTCTTAGTATTTACCCTTTCAATATCAGGTCACTCAGTTTTATCATTTCCTTTAGAGCTGTGGTTTCCAAGTAGGTCAGAAAGGTTTTGGTGACACTTTTAGAAGAAGGAAAGCTCCCAAGTTAGATGTTTTCACCTCTTTCTTCTGTTTGATTTGAGAACCAACACTTCAGAGTGCTACCTAGCATCATCTCCACCTGCTCTGGTGTGTCTCCACCCAAGACCCTGCATCACTCTTGGTTTTCTTGGCCCTTAGTTGAGATCTTCCAAGCCCACTTTCCAGATGTGTGTTTGGATATCAGAATTTTTGATAATTATGCAGCATAGTTTTTGTGTGATTTTTTAGCATCTACAAAGATTGCGAAACCTTTGCTTTTCTTGGCAGTGTGGCTGCAGTATCCTCTTGCAGGTCTCTTTGGGGTGTGGAGGGTATAGCTGAGTTTGGCCCCAGGGTCCAGTGTATGTGGCAGGACATGTGGATGTGAGGGTGTCAAGTGGTATCTTGATGGTATTTTTATTTTTTTGATTGTGATATGAAATATCAGACACTTTTCAGTTGCTTTTTGGTCTCGCAGATTTTTCTCTGTGGTTTGCTCGTTCTGTTTTTGTTTTTCTACTAGGCTTTTTCTTTTTTTCTCTTTGATATAATTATAGGGGTTCATTATTCATTCTAGATACTCATCCCTCATTGATTTAGAAGCTACAAATACTTCTCCCAGGCTGTCAGCCTCCATTACAGAAAGAAACCTCTAATTTTGCTGTGGTCAGATCCACCACTTTTCCCCTTATGTTTATTTTTGAGCCCGTCTTAAGAAATCCTAAAGTCATAAAATATTCTTGTATTTTCTAATACTAACATTACAGGTGACATTACTTTCTTGTTATAGTGATTTTTCTAATAAGTAATAATCTTTTCTTATTAACTTTAGTTGTTAGAGTTTGTTTGTAAGAGGCATGTTTGCTACTGTTCCAGTTCCTTTCATTTCCTTTTCCTCTTAAGTGATTGATTTCAGTATGTAATCTGTTTATATAAAAGGGCCAAAAAGGGTAGACTGTACTGGCCAACGTCAGATGCTGACCAGAAGGACCCTTCAGGAAAGGCCATCTGCGAGCTCAGTCTGGTCAGCTCCTCTGATAACCCAAGCCTTTGAGTCCTCATCACTGCTGTTTTCCTCTGGGGGAGCCTCAGCAGTGAGAGGAGGAAGGAGGGCCTGGCTGGTGGACCAGATGCAGAGCGCTGTGGGCTGCTGGTTTTAACAGTGCTGTTGAAGAATCCGTCTGTACCAGGTATGCTGCCAGGTACCTGTAGTCCTGAAAACCGTCCTTCTCATGGAGCTCTACCACATTCGATTTGTGGGTCTTGTTAGGCATGGTGGTTTCAGAGAGAGAGCATGGCACAGAACGTTACAAATGAGATGGCAGATGGGAACATGTCTTGTGTGGCACAGAAAGTCATACTGTGCAAGTGAGAAGAGTGCAAGCTTGCTGGGCCTTGCTGTCATGGAGGGCAGGCCCCGAGGAAGATGGGATGATAAGCTCTGACTCTAAGCATACAGGTGACAGATGGGGCTAGAGAGGAGCAGGGAGTGAGCACCAGGGCCTCCACAGCTGTGATCAGACTGCAGGAAGCTAAGCAAGTGCGGATTTGTAGGGCCGCCCATCTGGAAGGGGAAAATGGACCTCTTGCTCACGAACTGAGGCTGCTGAGCAGAGGCTGAATGTCTGTCTTCTCAGGGAAGCTGCAGATATTATACCTTTAAGGTTTTTCAGCTGATTGAACCAGGCCCACCAGACTGTCTAGCATAGACCCACTCCCCTAAAGTTAACTTATTGAGAGCTTTCACCACATCTACAAACACCTTCCCAGCAACAGTTAGATTAGGGTTGGATTGAATATCTGGGGACTATGGCCTCACCCATCCCAGTAACGGACTGTATATATATGGAATGAGCTGAGCCACATCCACCGTGACAGATTGGTTTTCATTTCAGTGCTAACTTTAGCTTCTGGGTGGGATCCCTACAGTGTGTGAGTCTGGACTGAGCATGAAGCGCCATCCTCCCCTTGTGAAGCTGCCTGGCCCAGCAAGGCACATGTACCTTATAGCTGTGGATTTGGAGGAATGCAGGTCATGAGGAGTTAGGTTTGGAAGAAGCCAGCATGCTGAGTTCAGTAAGCAAGAGGATATCTTGTTTGCTTGGAACGTCACAGTGGTTCTGTCAAGCCCAGTAATGAGAACTTACTTCTCACTGTGACCTTTCTTGTTGCTGCATCGGTCAGCACCTCTGTTTTTACTTTTCTGTATGGGAAACAGCAGAGACAGTGGAGATAGAAACCATGACTGACAGCTCAGAAACGTGTTTCTCTCCTCAGTGACCTATTTCAGTAAAATGTGTGGCCAGAAGGTGGCGATCTAGTAACGGTGGACCAATGTTTGTTAAGAACCAGAGTCCAGAAGAACTTTCCAGAGACCTTTGTTGTAATGTATAGTGTAGACAGATTGAGGGCCTTGGTGGCCAGGCTGGGACTGGGGGAGGAGGAGAGTCTCCTGGGCTTCAAGGGCTGGAAATGATGCAGGTGGGAAGATTCCACCTTGAGAAAGAGCAGTTGCAAATTGCTGTTTGCCTGCACAGTATCTTTAAAATAATCTTAAATTTTAGAATAGTTTCAGACTCGAGGAAAAGTTGTGGGGAGTACTCCCGTGTCTCCTACACCCAGTTTCCCCTGTTCTTGTCAGCTTACATTAGTATTGTTCATTGTCACAACCAATGAACCTGTCTATACATCTTTACTCAATAAATTCCATGTTTTATCCAGATTTCCTTAAGTTTTACTGTTCCAGAATCCTAGCCAGGATCCCAGATGATATTTTGGAGCCTCATCTTGGACTCATCTTGACTATTACGGATTCTCAGACTCCCCTTGTTTTGATGATCTTGACAGTGGTTAGGCTTTGTAGCCTTTTCCCAAGCTGGACCTTGTCTCATGTTGCCTCATGATCCACTGGGGTGGTGGGTTTGGGGAGGAAGATCACAGAGCTCTTATCATAAGAGCATGGTCCATGCATAGCATTTTTAAAGAGTTTTTTGGTACTGGGTTTTGTTTTCACTGTTTGCTAACTGTTGCCTTCTGAGAGGGGCCTCCTCTGACCATCTAATTTAAGAAGACTGGTTTCCCATTCACTGACCCTGTAGAAATATTGCTTAGCACGTGCATCTCTGTAAAATGGTAGGTAAACTTCTGAGGCATTGAAGTCTCTGCACAGGGTCATAATGTAGGACCATCTTTTGAAGCAGTGAAGTTCTGACCCTGGGACACAGCACCATGCTTACCGCCAGCAGACTCCATGTGGTCCCTGGGCCACGGCTGTCAGGCTGACCACCGACAGAGCCCTGCATGTGGTCACTAGGACATGGGCACTGCCCTGACTGCAAACAGGCCCCGTGTTGCTATTAGGACATGGTGACCCCTGACTACTGACCGACCCTCAGAGAACTGCTTGACCCTCAACCACTTGATCCCTTCCAAGGACCCACAGGTCCAAGCTGTATACCATATAATTTTGTAAATTTGCAAAGTTAGTTTTTTAAAAATTGTAATTAGTTGAGACTACTCTCTCTCTCCATTTCAGCTTTCTGTCTCTTATACCTCCTGTTACATCGAGGACATGGGGCATTTTGTGTTTTTTTCTGAAAGGGCTTCCCATTCCAGTTACATAAGGTGCTGGATAGAGTAGGCATTTTCCTGTGTCATCAGTGGGGCATTTGGGGCCCAAGGACAGGGAGAAGGATTTGCTCGTGACTAGACAGACTTGAAGCAGTTTTTCTGCTCACAGAGCAGGCCCTGGTGGTGTCTGATCCGAACTTGCGGTGAGGTGACCAGTCTGTGTCTGATGCACAAAGGTGACTTTTGTGTCCCAGCGCTGCCCCTGCCAGCCCAGTCCTTGCTCAGGGCTCCCCCTGATGCCTCCTTGTCCTTAGAAAGTGGGATCATCTGTAAGTTCTCACATAGCTTGAACAATTTGTGCTTATTTTGTTTAACTATTAATGTTGTTGACTTCTGAGACAAAAACCATCTTATACTGCATCAAATTAATTTTTTTCAGAAGATATTTCAGAGCATTAAAGTAACTGAGTCAGCACCCCAGGTCTCAGCACACAGTTCTGAGGGTGGCCGAGTTTTGTACCAGGCAGGACCCTGGTGATGCCACAGGTCGTTGTGAGAAACATCTCTGATTAGCATATTCCAGGAAGAGAAGTCCTCGGTTGTGACTTTCTGGTTGTTCAGTCCTGTTTGTTAAAGATTTAAAAATGGTGTGTTTCTGGCTGTCATACAGCTGTAGCTGTTGAGATGGAAACCATAGTAACAGTGAGGGAGCCCAGCGCTGGGCACAGTGCACAAGTGTGGACTAGACATGGGCCTCGCTCCCAGGGAAGCTGGCCGGGGAGACCCTCGTCCCCAGAGATGCTGAGAGGAGTAGCAGCACAGTGCCAAGCAAGTCACTGTCACTGCATAAGCTGAATGGTACCAGGACAGAGGCAGGACGGTTGCTGTGATGAAGGGGCTGAGTGGAGAACACGTCTGCAGACGTGGGCTAGGGCACATCTGTCTGCATGACGTGCAGTGCGGTGTGTGGTGGGCAGCGGGTAGGGTGGCAGGAACAGGGCTCTGCAGGGTCAGGCAGCAGACTGAGGAGAAGAGAATAGGCTGACTGAGGCGTTCACCTTCACCCATTAGGCCAGAGAACCACGGGTAACATAGACAAAAGAAGTACACTTGGCCATAGTGTTACCACTGGTAACATTTTAAGGTCGTGTACGTTAGTTAGCTTTTCCTTTAGGCTGATGATAATTAGTAGAACACGTCCTCTGTTGTCCAGCTTAGCTCTGATGGTGTTCTGTTGCTAATGTGTTAGAAAAATGCTTTTTACTAGGTAACATCTTAGTGACATTTAGGTCTTGTAAGACCAACCAACAGTGACTTGTAGGCTATGGAAAGTTCTCAGTAAGCCCTTAGGATGATGGAGTAGTGGCACCTTGGAGATCGTAGAACTCGGGTTGTGAGATCAGTTTGGTTGATTGGAAGCAGCTTTCATATAAAGAACAGAAAAGCACAGCAGAGTGCATGGTGTGTACCTCGGTTTCCGTGCTGTGAAACCCCGTCAGACTCCCCAGGTATATGTGACGGTGTAGCAGTGCTGTGCGCATCGCAGTTCTCACAGGTGTGCATAGTTAAAAGGCGGGCAGTCTCTCATAGGCCCTCCTTTCCAGAGAAGACGGCTCTGGGGAGTGCTCAGGTCTGCAGTGTGGAACCCCTGCCCTTGCCTTCATGCAGGTTTTGCTTTGCATCAGCTGGTGCCTGAGCTCACTCTATCTGACCTAGACTTCCTCTCTGGTATCTCAAGAAACATGCTCTCATCTTCATGTCTTCTCTGCTCAGTTAGGGAATTTCAGAGAGTGTTAGTTTGTAAGAAATTATTTAACAGATAAGAATAAGGGGATATTTGTGTACCTGTCGGAGGTGCTGTTCTCTCCCCTGGGAGGAGGGACTTGTGCAATTAGCATACCCTAGAGTTACCAGCTGTATTCCTATTCTTCAGGCCCAGCACGAACTTGACCCCAAGATGAATTTCCTTTCCTAACAATGCACTTATCAGCTGCTCTAGGCCACTCTGCCAGAAGGCAGCGCTGCTTACTGCCCTGAGGGTCCTCGGAACGGAGTGGTGTGTCGCATCTCTGCCTTCTTTGCTGCTCAAAGGAGTTGGTCCTGGAATCCAGATGCTGGTTCTTAGACCAGGATTAATAAACCGGAGAAGGAAATGGCAACCCACTCCAGTGTTCTTGCCTGGGAAATCCCATGGACAGAGGAGCCTGGTGGGCTACCTGGTCCATGGGATCACAAAAGGGTTGGACACAACTTAGTGACTAAATAACATCCACTCCTGGATAAAAGATCTTTCTTCTCAAAGCCAGTTATAGAACAAGATCCCGAGTATTTACCATGTTGTACACCCGGATCAGTGTCAGGTAAGGAAGCAGCTCTGGGTTGGGATTGAAGGCAAGGCTCAGGCAGCTTCTACATTCAGTCAACTAAGCAGAGGCTCAGCCAAGTGAGTTCACCACACTTACTGCTCCGGCAAGCCCAGAGGCTCTATACCCACAGAAGACTGTGAAAACACTCTGTCAAAAAAGAGCTCTGATGGTCTTAAACACCACTTTTTCTAAAATTCTGAATGCGCTTGTGTTGTTCACACCTTCTGGAAGATACCACTCTGACTTTGTATTTCAGCGTCTGGACTGATGGACCAAGCCATGCACTGTGAGTCCTCCTCAGGGAGCCAGGAAGGGAGGCCACTTCAGCTACAGACAAGCGAGCCAGTCATTTCTGAGGAAGACACCCAGGAACTGGGACAGGTAACATGCATTCATAGTGTTATATCCTCTCCTGCAGGCAACTTACTTGTCTTTCTTGCCTAAAAACAACTTTCCACTGATTTATGCTTGCCTCTCCCCTACACGGAAATGTTGTGATATCCACCTGATTTGCTCAGCTCCCTGTGGCTTGAAAAAGAATAAAGGCATTGCCCATTCTGATTCCTTGCATTTTGTGGCATGCATTCCTGTGCGCACACAGTAGTCTTGCCTCTTGTATGTGTGTGTGCACACACATATGCTCTGTACGTGTACATGAGTGTGTGTGTGGCAGCACCTATGTGTGTGCACTCCCTGGGCGTGTATAGTCGAGGACACTTGCCCTCAAGTGCTGAACGCTGGTTCTTGAGAAGGCTTGCCACTTTTTGTCCAGGAAATTGAAATTTAAACAATATTTGATAGAAATACTTTCAATTTACCTTCCTGTGTTAATGCTGGACAACACAGTGGCCTTTTCTTTCTCCTTTTTTAATAATTATGTAGCAAATACCTAGACATTGTGTCATTTCATTCATAAATATTTCAGTAGCTTTAAAAGAAAGAACTATTTTAAAAAAATCAACACAATACCATAGTCACCTTAAAAAAGTAAGAGGTAGATTCCTTGGTGTCATTAGACATCAAGCCAGTGCCCAGGTTTCCCTTAGTTCCCTCATTTAGAAAAATGTGTCACATGTTTGTTCCCATTGGGATCCTCATAAGGCCGCTGTGTTGCATTTCGTGAAGTGCCTTTAATTCACAACTTTCCTCTGTCATCTCTTCTTCCTTTGCAGTTTATTTGATGAAAAAGCTGAATTGTTTCTCTGTCAAAATTTTGCAACTTGCAAGATATTACTTACTTGGTTTTCCCACCTCCCAGCAGATGGTGAGCTGTCTACTTTCTGCCTTGGTACTCCTGTAGGTCAGTTTGTAGCTCTAAAGGCTCCATCAGATTCAGGCTTCATTTTAGAGAGACTATTTTGTTGGTGGCACCCCACAAATTTCATCAAAGCATATAAGAGACTGTATGTCTTTTAAACCTGTTTTTAAATAATTTTATTCTATGTGTCTACATAAGCACAGACTCCTTTAAGCTCAGCTTTTTCCTTTTGGGGGAAAAGTGTTTATCTTTTACAATGGGGTATTTTAAACATACATCATTTGTCACTTAACTCCTTCTGATCTAACTTAATCACTTTTAGTAACGACACATAGACATGCTGCTTTCTAGCTGCAACTAGCAAATTTTGCAGCTTACTAATTCCTTCTTTTGATAGGCTTATTGACTCCAGAACACTGCAGATCTTGTCTGTCTTGGGACTTGAGAAAGCTTTGTATTATGGAGGCAAACTTAACCTGTTCTCGTGAAAGTGAATGAGAGTACAGATAGGCCTCGAAGTGGTAGGGTCTGGGTCCCTTCTCACCCTCCACTGAAGATGTCTGTGGCTGAGATGAGCTCTTCTGTGTCCCACAGTTGTGTGGAGACTGGAGCAAGAACATGGCTTTTTCATGGGAAATATAAGAATCTTATCTGTTAATTCTACTGGTGGCCATGTAGTTTGAGAGGGTCCTTCCAATTTCAAATAAACAATTTCTACTATCATGTCCAATGTATTCTTCCCCTAAAAGCTAGATATACAGAATGGGAGAGATCAGAATGAATGCATGAACAGCTAAGAGTAGAATAAGATTCCTCAGTAACCACTGGGATCACCATTCTTCCCCATGAAAGCTTGTGTCTATGTGGTTGGTCCTGACTGTCATCAACAAGTCTCAGTGAGCCCTGTGGCATCCGTGCTGGGAACAGCAGATGCCATCGTCATGAATCAGGATGCTGGCTTTGGGGCAGAGGACGTGGTGATCCCTGAGCGGTTGGGCTGGCAGGACCTACCCACAGGAGGGGCAGGACTTTGTTCTAGTTAGCTGTCTCATTCTCCTTCCCTGCAGGAAGAACGTAGTTTCATATGAGGTTGTCTTTTTGAGGTAAAACACATGTTTCATATTTAGAGAAGAATTTTGAGCTGTGTAGCTGAAGTTCAGGCATAGGTAGGAATGAGTTAAATTTCTAGGGAAAATGAAAATGCAAGAAAATCTCCCTCCATTCATCTGTGGTTTCTGCTGCAGATGCTATTAGAGTCATTACGTGAAAATGGATTTGGTGACTTAAACTGCAGTCGGGGTGCTAGAGAGAAGACGCGCCGTGACTTCCTCAGGGAGCGGCCGTGCTCAGCGCACTGTGCCGGCTCCCTCTGTGCTGGGCCCCTGTAGCGGCCTGTGGGCTACAGTTGGACCCCATCTGCCGCGTAGCTGTGGCTCTCCACCATCCGCTGGGGCGGGCACGTGGTGGAGGGGGCTGGGGGAGGAATCAGAGTCCCTCGGAGGGGTTTGGCAGAATCCCGTGAATCATTTCCAACGTCTGATGTGCTAACCTTTCCTGCCTCAGAACTCCTGCTCTTTCGTTACTAAATCTGTGGCTCCCATGTGTTTGATACAGCATTTGGAAGTGATAAGACAAAAACGGCATGGTTCTGTCCTCAGGACATAGCAGTTTTATCTAAAGTTTCTTCATAACTTCTTAATCTCCTGTGTTGTTTTTTCACCTTTCCTCCATCTTTCACCAAAGACAGAATCAGAATGAAAAGCTGACTCGGGTCTGGTCTTACGGTTTATCAGGCTCTTCAGCATCCCCGGCCGCATAACAGCAATGAAGGGAGACTTGCCCTGGATACTTTCATCATTTCTAATAAAAAGGGTTGCACAGAGTGCGGGTTCATGGCGAGATTTTAGGTCATAGTTTTGAACTTTCTGTTTGATTATATTTGGGCATTTAGCCTGCCTACTGCATGTGTATCTTTATAAACAATAAGTGCAAAACACAAAAATTAAAAATGGAGGTGATTCATTCAGTTCAGTCAGAAAGTTGGTTTACTGGAAAACTTAGCTCGTCAGCTGGCATGAAGAGAAGAGTTTATTGAAAAGGCAGTCCTGCGGATGCCTGTGCTGGGGAGATGAGTGAGGGCCAGGCCTTTTGTCTGCATTGATTAGCTGAGCCAAGTTCCACATGTATCTGCACTGGTAATTGACTGGATCGTTCCTGAAATAATTCAAGGCCAGAAAGGATGCTATGGCTCTCTCCTTGCTAACTATCTTAAGAAATTAATGTCCTTTTCTCTCTTTCTCTTTCTGTATGTTGTGTGTGTCTCTATTCTCTTTCACATTGTTTTCCATTAAGGTTTATTACAACATAATCTTATTTTTCTTTCTTTTTTGTAGAAATGATAAAATACATTTCATCTTCAGTAACTCCACCATCCTGGTCTTTTTCCCAGGTATTTAAATTTGTCCCAATTCATGTCTCCTTTCCTAATCAGGAAAAAAAAGAATCTTTTATTTCTTGCATAACGGATCTTTAGCCTAAAATAAATGTCTGAATTAGTGGGATAGTATAGCCCTGGCTTCAGTGTATTACTTGTTTATTTGGAGAAGACAACACATCTGGGTTTCCTAGAATAATTGTCAGGAGAAAGTCATGAGATAATGAGTGAGGGGTGATAATGCATGGTGCTTCTCATCAGCTGTGGCAGTAGACTAAACCACACCTCAGAAATGCACATTCTGGAACTGATACTTCTTAGGATGGAGGTGGGAATGGCTAAACTGGTAGGCCTTCAAACGTAGAAGGGCAGCGGTGGTACTTTCCCCCAGCTATAGGACCCCTGAACAGTGCCGGGAGGGTGTGCCCACACCTTTGTTGGAGGGGCCTGGGGACCGGGAGCTGGACATGCCCACTCAGAGGAGTCTGGATTTTGTCCTGGAAGTAGTTTGGAATCATGAAGGGTTTAAACAAGCGGAGCTGAGGTAATCTCAGGTTTTGCTCATTCTCCTCAGGCTCCCCTGTTAGCGTCCCCTGCTGTCTTCTCAGTCTTCTGCAGACAGTTCATTTCACTTGTTAATTACGGGGCACAGTTAGAAGGTTAGTATTCTTATTTATGGCTTTGGTACCAGTCTGAATAGTAGAAACGAAGTAGGCCATTTACTTAGATATATGTCACTCTCACTGTGAATTACTAATGCATGTTTCTGACGTCATGTCCCATGTCATTTCTGAATGTTAAGCCATTGGAAGAGGAAAAGGTACCGCGTAGCTTTTGTTGTCCACATTCAGGGGACATTTCAGTGAAAGGCTGTATGGCCTAGGAGGAGCCCTGGCCTAGGAACCTGTCATCCTGGCGCTGCTCCCAGTCCTGCCTGTTGTCTCTGTGGTCCTGGGAAGGCTGCTTCGCTCCCCTGGCCCCAGGCTCCACTTCTGAAAAGCAGAGGCACTGGCTCGTGGTGTATTCCAATACCTGCCATCTAATGCAGAATCTGCCACAATGAAAGGAAAGCCCAGTTACAGAAAAGCGCCACGCCTTGCTTCTAAACGTTCATCCCTCATTTTCCTGTCTGCTCTGCCGGTTAACTGGGTCACTGGTAACCGTGAGCACTGCTTTTTTTTTTTCATTTATTTTTGTTAGTTGGAGGCTAATTACTTTACAATATTGTAGTGGTTTTTGCTATACACTGACATGAATCAGCCATGGATTTACATGTGTTCCCCATCCTGAATCCCCCTCCCACCTCCCTCCCCACCCCATCCCTCTGGGACTTCCCAGTGCATCAGCCCCGAGCACCTGTCTCATGCATACAACCTGGGCTGGCGATCTGTGTCACCCTTGATAATATATATGTTTTGATGCTGTTCTCTTGAAACATCCCACCCTCGCCTTCTCCCACAGAGTCCAAAAGTCTGTTCTGTACATCTGAGTCTCTTTTTCTGTTTTGCATATAGGGTTATCGTTACCATCTTTCTAAATTCCATATATATGTGTTAGTATACTGTAATGGTCTTTATCTTTCTGGCTTACTTCACTCTGTATAATGGGCTCCAGTTTCATCCATCTCATTAGAACTGATTCAAATGAATTCTTTTTAATGGCTGAGTAATATTCCATGGTGTATATGTA